CACAAACTTGTATGAACGTAGCCGGAACCGAGATATGTGACGTCGAAAATACATCAAATTCTGTCATACGGGCTAGAGGTTTACCCTTGGTAACCCGAGCCGACCAACAAAAGGGAGCGACCTCGGTCTCAATAGCAAAGTGTTGATATGGAGAGGTGTAGGCCTCGCTAGCGCAGGAAGAAGATTCGAAAGTGGAGGACAAGAGGCCAGGAGAGGCCGACCCATGCATGGACGTAGACGATGATGACCCATGCAACGTCGATCCCGATGTCGAGCCCTGCGGCAAGGAAGGAGAGGAACTAGAGGAGCCAGCTGGAGACTCGGCGAAGGTGAAGCCGTTGGTGAGAGATGTGGCTTCATGCTGAGGAGAGGGAGGATCATTATCCTAGGGCACAACCAGTGAAGCATAGGAGAAGAGATCCAACGGTTGAAGAAACCGTAGATGAACTTCAGAATCCTGTTGAGAAGATCCATAATTTGACATATGTTCGAGAAATGCAACATCACGAGAGATACGAATGCGGCGATTGGGCATCATAGCATACGTACCCCTTATGTTTCTTGCTTTAGCCGACAAATACAGACTTAATCGCTTTAGGCTGCAACTTGATTCGTTCCCGATGAGGAAGGAGGACATAGCAAACACAACCAAAGACCCATAACTAGTGTTAGTTCGGCCTCCTTACAAAAAGAGTTTCGAACGGACTGCACTGTGATAAAACCGGAGTGAGTTTCCTGTTGATCAAATACACGATCGTATGAACGACCTCTACCCTAAAATTGGAAGGAACAGAAGACTGAAAAAGAATAGCACGAGTGAGTTCAAGAACGTGACAATGTTTGCGCTCTACCAGACCATTCTATTGGGAGACTCCCGGACATGACTGCCGAGGTAAGATATCGCGTTCCTTAAAGATTCCCCAAAGAGGATCAGATGAGAATTCCCCACCCAGATCCGATCTAAACATTTTGACGTTAACGCCAAACTGTGTGCAAACCATCTATAGAAACTCTTTCGCAACCTGTAGCAAATCGAATTTCTGATGAAGGAAGTACACCCAGGTATAGCGGATGGCATGATCTATAAAGAGCACAAAATAGCGAAACCCAACCCTAGATGTCACAGAAGAGGACCCCATAAATCCGTATGCACCAAATCAAAAGGACGCGAATATTCAGTAGTGCTCGAACTAAAATAATGTTGAGAAAGTTTGGCCTCAACACAAGAAACACAAGTATTCGAATCTGAAACAGAACTGGCCGGCAACAACTTATTCTTAAACATATCAGAAAACCGAGAAGCATGAGTTGGCCTAACCGACGATGCCAAAAGTCCCAGTTTGATAACTTAACCGAATAACCAAAAGAATCAAATACACCCGTAGATGACCCACAACCAGCCACAACATATGGCTTGCTGTCTCCCTCCAAGCAACCAGATACCCCATGTTGGTAGTGGTCCAAGGTATAGCCGCGCCCAACCACCGTCCCCGTGCTCTTGTCCAGCATAGAGCAACCAGCAGAATCAAATACAACCCGACATCCCTCTTCAGTCAACTGACCCACATAGACTAGATTAGGCACAAGGTTGGGAACATATAAAGTATCCTTAAGCTTCACCCCTTTGTGACTAACTATCCCAACCCCTTTGGCCGGTAAGCAAGAGCCATCAGCAACCTGTAGCATAACAGACGAACTAGGACTAAAGGAACAAAATGACGAACACGAGATCGTCATGGGATTAGCGGAGACAAAATCAATATGCCAAGAAGGAGAACAAGATAGCCTACCAGCCGAAAAGACGGAACTCAAAGCCGAGGGGAGTGCCTCCTTAATCATGACCTGAACCATCTGGAAGATGGCAACCTCGGAGATACCGGACGATGAGGTGGTGGCCGCCCCAGGAAGCACCATCGTAGCAAAAGTGAGACCTTAAGAAGGCCCACCTCGTGAAGCACCTGAAGAACCAGCACCCTAGGAGTGTGCACGACCCCGTTGTGATAAGATAGGACATGCTCCAATCTTGTGTCCAGAAGTCTTTCAATAATTACAAATATTCCACTTCGGACAATGTTTCACGTGGCCAGGTTCCTTGCAGTAGTAACAAATGACCTCGCCACTAGGAGTGCGATGAAACCGGGGCTTCTCAAAACTAACAACAAAGACAGTGGTATCACCGGAGGGCGCAGACTTGCCAGCCACAACAAAGGCCGAAGTGGAATCAACGTGGGATTGATGAACATCAAGCTTCGCTTGGCTACGCAAGCGGGTTTATTCCTGAATCAACTCAATCAAAACATCCTCCAGTTTAGTCACATTGCGATGAAGCAAAGATGATTGAATACTGTCATATTCAGGACACAAATTTATCAAGAAGGCCATAACACGCCAGCTGGCACGATCCTTTTGGATTTCGGCCGAAGCCTCAACAGACAGCAGAGACGTCGAGAGCATTTCATGCTCCGTCCATAAATTAATGATAGCCTGATAGTATGAGCAAATGTCACGATCCCCTTGTTGCAACCGAGCCAAATCAATCTCAATATCAAATTTGCGAGAGGCACTAGACTGGGAGTGAAAAGCAGCATGGTGACTCCACATAGCATGAGTGGTGTTAAAGCACCGCAGGCTCAAAGCAATCGATAGCTCGACCGAGCTCAGAATCCAACCCATAACTTGGGCATTGCTGGTCGCCCAATCCTCCTTAGTATTGGCGGTAGCATCAGCACCAGGTTCCACCGCCGTACCATCGAGAAACAATGACAACCTCCAACCTTGAACAAAGAGACAAAACTGAAATTCCCATAATGCATAATTCTTTCCATCAAATCGAACCGGGAAGACATCAAGCTTGGACGAATCCATAATCAGCGAGCACCACACAAAACCCACACGAACAAACACTACACAAAGACAGTCCAAGCAAAGCTGAACCAAATGGAGCTGAAGACAATAAACCGTAAGCAAGACGAGAAAAGAGACCAGCCGCGAAGCGACGAGCAAGAATACCAGCAAGAGCAACCTGATTAAGCCTGAGATCCACGAAGAGGCTCTGATACCATGTCAATCTGAATTGAAAGCAGAACAAACACGAGAGTTACGTGGTATCCTCAACGAGTATCGTTGAGACTAATCCACGAAGAGGACCAACCTCTCGAAGTAATTGTATACGTTGAGAATTCTTAGGTTACAGTTCGGCTTTAATCACCCAATATATACCCCGAGCCCTCCTAACCCTAACTAACGTAGCCTTCCATAATACATAAGGAATATTGGCAAATTACAATTAACTCCCTCTAACTTCTATAACTTCAACAACTTCTCTGTGCCCAAGCAGAAGGGCTGGACAGCGAGTTCGATGTTTCCTCGTTGATTTCGACCCGTCGCCATGAGTGCGACCACGTTCTAAGATATGGCTTTTGCGCCATGCTGAGATGTTGTTCTAGAAAAAGGATTGGCAAAAGGAAGCTCGGGCTAGTCATGGTAGTGATTAATGTGTTTGTTTTCGATATAGCGAAACGAAGGCGATCATTTAAGACGACCATCTGGCGATTCAAGCTTCCGTCATCGATGGAGCTGGAAGATGAGGGACTGGAAACAAACATGTCCCCGATGATCTCCCAAGCTGGATCTTCTTGGGATCTCACTCTCGATCAAAAAGTTCAAACCGTAGAAAGAATTCACATAATGGGAAAGAAGCCAGGTAGTTGGATCTTGAGTTTTTTCTCGGTGGCCAGGAAAACAACGACGACTACAAGCCGATCTGGTGGCCTGATCAGCATGGTTTTTTTGGGGGTAATATTTTCCCTAATCCAATCTCCGCTGTTCGTGGGATTCTTCCAAATAATATATCTTTTTTTTTTTAAAAAGAGTCCTTCTACCCATAAAACTAAAATAAGCTTAATACGAGCTAGAATGACTGACACGCTACGACACAACACCAAACTGCGACCAAGTGTAATCGCAGTCCAGGAATGCAGTAAAGTGGCAAGCTCTAATTATCAACCCGAGGTCTAGATCTACTGCCTACTCAGTGATTATCTATTATCTAGCCAACTAAGTCGATTGATTGTGGTTTTAACTAAAAGCAGTAAGAAAGCAGGGAAAGATTCGGTTTTCTAAAGCAAAGGAAGAGTCACTCGGGAATGAGTCCCCCTAGCTCCTTAGTTAGGTCTCAGTTTTAATTATCCTGGGTTGATTTACTGTTGATTAAACTGCGGAAGATCCGACAGTAGCTTGGAATCTCTTAAGCTGACCAAGCCCTCTCAGTCTAACTACCCGACAGACAACTAATCTTCACCGGGATAGAAAGCTGAAGTAATAAGCACAAAACTCCACTACTGGAATTGGATTCCAGTAAAAAGCAGTAGACTGACTAACTCTCGCATAGCCAATCTACTACTACCGAACAATGAAGCTCTAACAACCTAATCAGATTCTATCTATCTCAGGTTGCAGCAGAAATCAAGAAAAGCTTATCAGACTTCAATCAATTCAATGAATCATGCTTCATTCGATTAAAACCAAACAGTATAACAATCCCAAGTCATTACAATCATGATCCTAACACATGGAACTAGGGTCTACTCCATAGAGAGAGAGAGAGAGAGAGAAACATAATACAAAGCAGTCATACTCATAACAATGGGAAGAATATGCTCTGGGATGATGATTTTCACTCCTATGATGATCTCCAAGATCGATTTGATGAAATCCAGCTCCAAGATCGCTTCTAGGGTGTGTTCTTTGCACTTTCTCTCTCTAGGACTCTGCTTTTGCTCTCAAAAGTCGATCCTCTCACTTGTGGCTCGAAATCGGGTTAAAACCCAGAATTCCTGACTCACACGGGCAGGCCACATGGTCGTGTGGCTTACCCAGCTGCCCGTGTGAGTATCAAAACGCGGAGTTAGATTAAGTGGACTTCAGGCTACCTACACGGCCAGGGACACACGGCCGTGTGGAATCTCCAGTATGCTCGTGTGAAGCCTCGGTAAATCCCACACGGCCACATGGGTTCATTACACGGCCGTGTGGGTTTTAGGAGTGCCCGTGTGGCTTCCTCAGCGTCGCCACACGTCCGATCTTCGTCCAATCGACCCCGAACTCGCTCCCAAACCTTCATTCACGTACTAGGACCTGAAATATCACAAACAAGAACAACCTAGCGTGAAATCGGCCTAAAACACGAGAATTAACATTCAAACGGTGTAAGATTAGGAGTAAAAACATGTGCAATTAATGGTCTATCAATGACTAACACAGGGGACGAGTTATCTCTTTTCTTTAATACCCTTAGCCCTAGACCTGACACTCTCGTATTTACTAAACGAAGAGCTGAGTTAGTGGCGAGGGAAGAGGAAGGCATAAATGTCCCCATATTGTCTTCAAACTTAGGTACCCTGTCCTTGATTCCCTTTACCCTCGTCAGATCACTATGGTTACTCGCCTCTCTTGTGATCCTGCGACTAGCTACCTGCACGCTGCTTTCATGGGCTGCATGAGAATGACTCGTCCGCCATCAGTTAAGGTGGAATGGCATTCTAATAATTTTGTTACCCAACCTTGTTTACAGGATCATAAGATGGCTCATGTTACCTCGGACTAGGTGGTATAGTTTTCGATGGAAGAGGTGCAATCTACAAAATACTGAACTGCCCACTCCTTACTTGGACGACTACACTGAGAATGGAATGATGACCACATAGCTTCGAGAAGTAGTGCTCACTCCACGACAAATCCAGGGTCGGGTCAGGGTGGTGATGGCAAAACACGGGCTGTTTGAGTTCATGTTCCCTGACGAAGAGGCCAAGGTCTGGGTGCTAAAATGAACTCCATGGGTGATCAAAGATAAGATTCGTCACCTAAGATCATGGGCTCCTTTCATCACAGAGAGAATTTATGATGACCTTGCAATTGTACCATTCTGAGTCCAACTGTGGGATGTGAAAGAACATTGTTGCACTCAGTAATTTGGACGAAAAGTGGTGAATACCACTATTGGGAAAGTTCTGGAAGCAGGCATTTTTGCCTGTCCGGATATGGGTCGTTGGTTTGTGAAAGTCAAGACTCAAATTGATTTCACAAAACAGCTACAATCACAGGTTATTGCTGCTAATGATGACATGGGTGCTTTTGGGTTAGTCTGAAGTACGAATACCTCCCTAGCTTCTACTTCCATTGTGGGAGGGTGAGCTATTCACTCCGTGCCTGTACTTTTGATCCACCAACCCGCAAGGAAAAATTTGGTCTTCATATATCCACTAAGAAATTAGGGACTAGAATCTATGATACTAAAGATGACAATCAAACTTTTCACGGGGTGGTTAAATCGGTATGGGTTAACAAGGACTATCGAGAGCCTCGAGAGAACAAAAACGGTGTTGGGAGTCACACTGAACATGCTGGGGTGTTCAGAAATATGCCCAGCATCCACCGACTCATCCACGCAATCGTTAAGCTATGGCTACTAATTCTCCTGATACAGTGGCTATGATATGTAGGCAGAGACCTCGAGGATTCAAACTGGCTAAATCACTAAAAGTCAAAGTTGGGCTCAACCAGAGGAAGCTGACCTCTCCTCGTGACCATGATAATGATCCTCGTGCAACTAGCTCCTCCCGTCGGCGCAATGACAAAGATGCTGTGTTGGAGAAAGAGCGGCAGGTCCATCGTGATCACCACCAACTTGGGAAAAGAAGCAGCTAACTGTGCAATCTCCTCACCCTCAGGTCGGAACTACCAGGACCCACAAGGGTATGATTAAAACTCGGCTTGCTGGTTCTCCAGCGATGGGAAAGCGTGAAGGGAGTAGTAAAAGGAAAGGGCGAAGTCGCGAAGAGCTGCTAATAATGAGTACTCGAAGGGGGTTATTCCCTCGCCTTCGCGGGAGATGGTCCAATCGTCCCTTGAACTGGGCAATGAGAATCTTGAGAGGGAGGACTCCACTACCCCTCTCTCCGAGGAGGACGAACTTTGCTTTGTAATCAAGAGCCGTACTCCTAGTTCTGACCTTCCCCCGACTCGGCATGTGGGCAAGTGCGCTAGGTAGTCGCGAATTTTGAGGGCATGCATGGTGATTAATGAAGGGAAAGAAGTATTTGAAGAAGCTGAAGGTGAAATGATAATGAAGTTGAATAAGTGTGGGTCTAATTTTGACGACCCAATGATTGGGTGCCACAAGCGCCCACTTCAAGAGGTGGAGAGGGATATCAGATCACTCCTACGCCGAAGAAATAGTTTGTGGAAGATCCTGGTGAAAATGATAAGGTGGAGGAAGTTAGTCTAAAGTGGCCCCAGTCGGATAAATGAGGCTACTGGCCTAGAATGTGAGAGGAATTGGGCCATCCCTTACTTTCCAAACAGCTGTCGATTTAGTTCATTCTAATAAATCAGACCTTATTTTCGTTTTAGAAACAAGATCACGTTGGAGAGTAGTTTCCCATAGAATGCGGGATTAGGATTTGATTCTTCACATAGTTTCTTTGTAGATGCCCCTAATGCATCTGGTGGTCTAGTCATAGCTTGGTCCCCCAAAGTTGATGCTTCAGTGTTTTTTCATTCCGAATTCTGCATTTGTACTCAAATTAATGAAGTGGATTTTTCATATGCTGTGATTTGTGTTTATATTAGTTGCAATGACTCTTTAAGAGCCAGTCAATTGGCCCAATTGCGAGAAATTTGTGAAGGAATCCAGTTACCTTATGTGGTAATAGGTGATTTCAATGTTACCCTACACTAAAATGAAAAGATGGCGGCAATCCCTCGAGTGTTTCCCAGTGAGGGATGCAAACGAGCCGAGTTTTTGCTTAGCTTGAGCTTGGCTCGTTTATAAATTTTTCAGGTCGAGCTCGGCTCGAACAAGGATTTTGATAATCCAGCTTGAGCTCGAGTTCGACTCGATTAAAAATAATCCAGCTCAAACTCAACTTGGTAGAGCTCGGTAAATGCTCATTAACACATCTTGTCAATCTGAGTACAAGCTCGACTCAAGATTAGCTCGATTTGAAATCATTCTTATTGAAAATTGTGTACACATAAGAATTTAAATGATAATAAGAACACTAGAAATTAAAAATAATAGCTAACTTCCATACACATCCGTATTAACAAGATAATATTAATGTTTAGAAGAGTAATTAATCCTTCCACAAGCTCTAAATAAGCAAGCTCGCGAGCTTAGCTCAACAAGCCACCGAGTCAAACTAGTATATCAAAATGAAAATTGGTTTTGCATAGGTTTAGAACAAAAAACTTCAGTTTGAAAAATATATACTATTTCTATATAGTAATTATTTGGGTCAATCGGAGAGTTCGGGTTAGTCGGGTCTGTGATCAATCAAATTCGAGTTTTATCGGGTTGTGGGCTAGTCGGATTACTTGTTGATCGGGTTACGGGTCGGACGGATTACGGATCATTGACTTTTAGTCAACTCGAGTTGCGGGCCTGGTTGAACAGATAAATGAGGTTCCGTTTTGACTTCTAAATGTGTACCGTTCAAACCTGTTCACAACTAGTCAGCAACACAAGCAAGTGTAATCGCTTTGCAGCACTAACCAACAATTCTAAATGTGTACCGTTCAAACCCGTTCACAACTAGTCAGCAACACAAGCAAGTGTAATCGGTGTTACAGACCATTTGGTACCAAATGAATCAAGAATTCATTCATTGTAAAATGAATTACCGTGTAGAATTCATTGTCAAATGAAATCTTGTGTTTGGTATGTCATATGCAAATCAATAAAATGGATTGCAGAGTAGAATTCCTTGTCAAATGAATCTTGTGTTTGGTATGACATATGTATAAGTAATTTATTCAATAAAAGAGGATAATTATGTCATTCTATTATAATTAGTAAATACTTGTGGAATTCATTTGGAAATTCCATCTCAATTTCTCGGAATTGCTATAACTAGTTCCAATTCCATAGAATTCAAAATTTAGAATTGAAAATGAATTCTTTTAAATACCAAACACAAAAATATTTCATTTCCAAATGAATTTCTCAAAACTTATAGAATTTATCGGTATGTATACAAATATTGTTTCAACAAACATTTACTCTAACCAACAACAGCCTTAATTTAAAACTTTATTCTTATTTCTTAACTGGATCAATGACGTGGATTTCACCTCTATTTACCCTTGTGATAACATTACTTATTCAGATGTCAAGCTGTTAAGGGCTCGTTTGGAGAATTGGAGTCTAAATCTATAGATTTTAGACAATCCAAAGATTTTAACTATCTGGATTGTTGAAAAAAGATTTGAAAATGTTCATTGTTTGGTAACTATGATTGCTAACATCCAATGAAAAAAGAAATTCAATTCTTTTTATTAAATGATATGTTTATCCTTAACAAAAATAATTAGATTGCTCGAAAACTATTGAGAATTTATTGGTGAGGGTATTTAGTGGGATAAATGAAAAAAAGAAGAGATATAGTAGGAGAAAGAAAATCTCCAAAATCAAGATGTAGAATCTCTCTAATTATGAGAGATTTGATATATCTAGATTTTAGAGATTTAAAATCTCTGAAACTACAATCCACGATACAAAAAGTAACAAAAAACATAACATTTTACTAAATCTATTGATTCAATAAATCCATGATCCAAATCTTGTTCTCCAAACGAGCCCAATCCAATGAGAACACCTAACCTAGTTAATTCCATTATACATTCCGACATCACGTATAAACAAATAATCTCATCCCTACCTTAATTAGTTTTGCTAATTTTTTATTTAGAGAAAAATATTTTACTGAATATTTTTTTTTCAGCGCAAATTTCTCCCCAATAAATATGTTAAATTCTTCTCAAGAAAACCTCGGATTTCAAAAAAGTTTTTTTAAACAAAAGATAATCACATTGATTAATAGAGAGATCAAAAAGTACACCCTCGAACCAACCCAAAAACGAAAATCAAACAATTCACACAAAGTCAGAGGGAAAGAAAAAGGCATTGAGAGCTCAAAATATTGTTTGCCTTGGGTTTATTCCAACGCACAGTTTTGTTTTTAAGATGCATCATGGTGATCAGGTCACCCATCCTAGCTAGGGTTGGGAAAATAGATCAGATCGTTAGAAAAACCGCGGTCCAAACCGTACCGCACAGTTTGGTCCAGACCGTAGATCCTTAAGTATGGTATGGTCTGGTTGATGTGACCAAAGTACGCAGCTTTCCTACTTTTTATGGCTTTTCGAAGCTTTTCTTCAACGAACAAGAACTTGAACAAAAGATAATGATGGAACACGATCAAACAGATTCCAACTCGTGTGAAATGCCAATTGGTATATGAAACCAATCAAACAATCACCCACTCGTGAATAAGGCCAATCGCTATTGGGTAGAAGCTCGCCACAACTAGACGCGTTCTCTAGTTGATAAGAGACACGTGAAACTCCTGGAGCACTCTCAACGTTAGCTTGCACAAAGAACTAGTTAGTATGAACTTGTAACTTGAAAGTTGATTGATAATTGAATGTTGGGTACCAAATTCGTAGCTATTACAACCTCTATTTATAGAGGTCATGGAAACATAAATCTAACCTAAAAGGAATAAGAAAACAAATCCCAAACTAACTAGGAAACATAATACTACTTAAATAAGGACTATAACTCGTTTTTATGACCAAAGGAAGCTCCTTAGTAGCTAAGTAATCTCCAAACACGTTTTTAATGCTTAAGGAAGTTCCTTAGTGGTTAAGCAATCTCTTTCCTTGCCCTTTTCACATTTGGACGACTTGGGCAGCAAGGATTGACGTTTTGGGCTCCAAGAAATGTTGTAGGCCCGATCCTTAATGCATTCTCCATTTTATCCATCAAGAATGCTCCTAGTTGATCCTTAAATCGTCGAATATGAATCTTCATTTTTGGACCACGGGAATTAATTATCGCGCTATTCGATATCACATCATTCCCTCTCTCTTGAAGAAGATTCGACCTCAAATCTTTACAGAAACTTGATCTCCGATCACCTCCATTCTTCTCGGTCTTCCAACAAAATTGTCTTGGTAGTGAGGATCCTATCATTCCCCCCTTCTTGAAGACAATTCGTCCACGAATTGTATTATTATGTTGGAAACCTTCCACATAGCTCTGCAATTCTCGTTGATTCTCTCGGCGGGTTGACTCTTTCAACATTGCATCACCAATCACAAAATCAATATGAGCAACTTTGGAAACTATCGGTAAATACTCCTTAATTTTCAAGCATTCATCTCCTCCTTTGAATTCTGATTCCTCAATGTATGGCTTAACTTCTTGCGCACTCAAATCTGGAATATCAACAAGAATTTCTTCTTTCACCTCTTCTGCCTCTTGTAATTCTTCTACTTCAAGTTCTTGTTCTTTTTGAGATGAAATCAAAGCTTGGGAATCCTCTTCACAAGTTTCTATAGCAAGTCCATCAACAAGAACCTTTTCTTTCTCTTCCACGTCTTCTTTGACTTCCTCTTATGCTTTGGCTTGAAACTCTTTCTCCTTCTTCAAATTCTGTTGCATTTGAAGTTGATCCTCATAGATTTCATTGGGAGATAAAGGCTTCAATACAAACTTCTGACCTCTATGCAACCACTTGTACTCCTTGGTGACTCCATCTAGTTGTCCATTTCGATCAAATTGCCATGGTCTTCCAAGCAAAACATGAGCCTCTTCCATTGGCACCACATCACAAAGGATTTCATCTTTATATCTTCTAATCTCAAACTTCAATATGGCTTGCTTGGTGACCTCAATTGCTCCATCTTCATTAAGCCATTGAAGAGTGTAGGGTTTTGGATGTTTCAATGTGTTTAACCCCTATTTCTTCACCAAATATTCACTCACCAGATTAGTGCAACTCTCTCCATCAATCACAACCGATAGTAGCTTACCATCCACTAAGCATCTCGTTTGAAATATATTCTCCCTTTGCTTGAGAACTTGCTTTGGATTTGGACTCCCTATCATCAAATGAGCTTCAAGTTGGATTATTGTTGCTGTAGCATTATTCCCCTTTAATCCTTGAAGAATAACTTCTGTCGTCTTGAGCATTTGCTTCATCATCTCCGAGAATCGTTGATTTTGCTCCATTCTTGATTTTCAAGAGCTTTTTTTATGTTTTTTTTTTGCCGCTGATTTGAACCGGTAATCTTCGAAAAAATCGCCACTGAGTTTGAACCAGTAATCTTCAAATCGCCGTTGAGTTTGAACCGAGCTCCGATACCACTTGATATGACCAAAGTACGCAGCTTTCCTACTTTTTATGGCTTTTCGAAGCTTTTCTTCAACGAACAAGAACTCAAACAAAAGATAATGATGGAACACGATCAAACAGATTCCAACTCGTGTGAAAGACCAATTGATATATGAAACGAATCAAACAATCACCCACTCGTGAATAAGGCCAATCGCTATTAGGTAGAAGCTCGCCACAACTAGATGCGTTCTCTAGTTGATAAGAGACATGTGAAACTCCTGGAGCACTCTCAACAGAAGCTTGCACAAAGAACTAGTTCGTATGAACTTGTAACTTGAAAGCTGATTGATAATTGAATGTTGGGTACCAAATTCGTAACTATTACACCCTCTATTTATAGAGGTCATGGAAACAT